GTGGACACACACAGATCGCCGCATTCGGCGCTTTTTTCAAAAACCGGTGGCAAGCGTAGTGGTTGTGTCCTTTTTGGACATAGAGCCTCACGAGCTCAGCCGCAGCAGCTGTTGATGGGGAGTGTGTTGTGAGGCTGAGCTGGGTATGAGCTGATTGTCAAGTGCGATCATTCATCGCGAATTAGAGTGGAGAACTCCAGTGCACAAGCTTGAGTTCTGCTGATGAAAAGGTCACGGCATCAATCTAAAAATTGCAACATGTGGAAAAAACAACATGCATGACGGATCCGAAATCTGATGTATTCGAAAGTAACCGTTTTTGGGCCCGGCGGCCAGTGTATCGGTTGATTCAGCGAGGGTGTCGGTGACTGCCTGTGAGGGTCCGATGAGTGGTGGTGCTTTGTGGTGGTTGCTTTCCCATGTAAGAACGGCGCCCCTATGACGGGGATCACACTCAGCACCCGAGTGGGACGGCTGAGCGAAACACACTCTGACACTTGTATTCAGTTAACTCAATTTCCCGATGGGAAGAAAGGCGAAGAACCGCAGGGCGCAAAGGTCAGTGAAAACAGTATGGTTTAACTTTGTTTGCAGTGGCACTCGAAAAGACGATCGGACACTGAGCGTGGCTGCAAGTCGGCTGCAAGTCTGCGGTGGGAAAAGGTCTTGGGGTCCATCATGAGAACAACCATGGAACCAACGAAACAGCAGCAGGGTGGACCATTGGAGTCGGTGTGTTGAAAGCAGGTACGTCAGCTCCGCGTCCGGAACTGATATCCTCACCATGTATTGCCAGCTTCGTTGATGGAGAAGCAATACAGGTGTCTCCATCCCCTGCTGGTTGAAAAAGTTAGTGGAAAAGCGCGGAAAAGGTGGCGGTGGAGATCCCTTTGCCCAGGGGTGGACACACACACACACACACGTGGTGTGCTGAAACTGTTCTCCTGCTGTGCCTGGGCAGCAGCACGTTGTTCCTGGAACTTTGAGGCTGCTGATGCACGGACCTCCGTCAAATTCCCCTCGAAGCGCTCCTGTTGATCCTGTGCAAAGATGCATTAAGGTCTTGCTCTCAATTTCCTTTTCTCTGCAGGTCCAGGTAACTACAGTACGGATCTACGAGGCTTATTCTTATATAGCTACGGTCAAAAGAATCAAGGTGAGTGGCACCACGCTCATTGCAGGGTTTGACAGCTGAGGAATAGGCCAGCTGATGTGCTGACAGGCACCTGGCCATCCTTTGTGTCTTCAGCTGGCGCGTGCCAAGCAACTCTTTGGAATATGTTTGTGATGCTCTTGGAATATGTAGTATTTTTGGAATATTTTGGATAATTGTGGAGTCGTCGTGTGACTTCATGTCTTTGAGTCGTGGGACTCTGAGTGTCCGGGACAGGCCAAACACTCATGCTGGCCGTTCTTCATAGGGCACAAGACTCTCTGAGCTTCTCTATGGTAACTCCAACCGACATAGGTCTTGAAGAGCAAAAGGCAAAGCTTCACGATGCTTGGTTGAGCTTCCTGTTATGCCGTTTCTGTGTGAAGCCAAGAATAGGACTTGTGCCGCAGTACTTCAGCATCGCCAGCTTGAAATTCGTGGCTATCACTCGCCTGCTAGAGTGTTAGTTGGGCTTTGCTTCACCAATGAGGTTGGAGAAAATGAAGAGATGCGAGCATCAGCATTGCCGAGATGAGTGAGATGACTGAGTTAGCAGCAGGAAGCGAGGTGAAGCAAACGGTTGCATGCATGTTGTCAGACCAAGAACCGTCCGCTGAAAGTTCACAGAGCTGCGCTCTGTGTACAAAAGAGGTCCTGTGCAGCTAAAGCCAGGCATCCAAACAAGCTAAGTTTTACCTCTAGAGAGTTGTCGATGAGCGTGCCAAGGTTTGTGCAGAAGAGTTGAACCACCGAGTTGTCTGGGTTCAATTCCTCAGCAAAGGGAAAAAACATCAAAGAAAGAAAAGAAGGTGAAAGCAAAGGAACAAGGAGATTGATGCAGATTGAGATGAACGCCAAAAGGCAACCGCAAGCGAGCGCAGGCTTGGAAGGAAGATTCAGCAAGTAAAAAACTAAAGCAAAGGAATAGGACGGAAACGGGCAAAATCAACATTTCGCTGGCTCAGCCGCCCGAGTCACTCGGCGAGTGTCAGAGTGGCAAGTTGCGCCACGCCAAGTAGGACTTGTTGTTTAGTTTCTTGTCCGACCAAGCGTCAAACCAACACCAAACAAATCAACAAAACCAACTACTACATCGCTTCAGTGGCATAGGTTCAATATGTTCAATCTATGGGTTGATGAGATCGACGGTTGGACTCAGTTGCAATCTACACCGAATTGAAAGACGTGCAATGGAGATCCAATCAGCAGAAGAGAGATTGGAAGAAACAGGCAAAGGCCCCCATTGCTACTAGGAGCAAGGACGCTACTAGGGGCTCCTGGCATCGCTACTAGGAGCAAAGAAGCTACTAGGGGCTCTTGGCCTTACTACCAGGAACAAGGACGCTACTACGCCCAAAACGATCAGCTTCCAGCAACTGCCGGCGAGGCTGAAGAGTGGAGGCCAGAAGATTAGGGACGAGACTCTGAGACCCCCAAAATGACATGCTGCGCATTGCTGCGCTAGCCTGCTAAGTGCTTTGCGGGCAACGCATGGTTCCGGTCACAGCTCCATGTTTATCATGTTTGGTCTTCGCAAGAGTAAAGTTACTCTGAACATCACGAGTTTCAACAGCAAACAGTGATAGGATTGGCATCCAAATATTATGCTTAACACTTGCAACACAATCATTGTCTCTTCTTGTCTTCTCTCCACTTTCTCAGTATCATTCTTTTGATTTGGTGTCGTCCTGGAGCTTGGTTTGGAAGTCCTGGTGATGCTTGGCCAGGGCCTCTGCCGCTGTCAGCAGCCCTTCACTCGCCTCGCTTCGGCAACTCTGCACTGCGGATTTTTGCCGCTCCTCTGCCTCCGCCATGGCCTCTTCGAAACTGAACAAACAGCACAAAAGAAGGTTTTTTCAGGGCCGGGTAGGCTGTACTGTAGTAAGCTAGTAGTAGACCTTGGAAGCTTCTGGGACTGCATGCTGGGAGGCCGCCCTAAGGGAGAGCTTCTCGCCGCATGATTGATTTGGCATGTTTAGGGAAGGTTAACGTTCTGCAGGCCAACATCAAATTGTCAGCCTGACACAAGAAGGAAATAGAAGCGATCTACAAAGTGAGGAAGCGTAGGTGGAGGATAGAGATTGGATATATCCCGTTCCCTGCAACAGTGGATGATGACGGTTAGTAAAGGCCTTCCTCTAAACTATAGTGATAATTGTTTACCGAGCGTTACAGTCAATAGGGCACACCCCAAGATAAGGATACCGTGGCAACACACTTTGAGGAGGACATTCCTCACGGAAGAAGGCCAATCCGATCAGAATCATGATCTGAAAAAGCTGGGCAATGAGGGAGGCAATTGGGACAAACATATCCTGCCGCGGCAATCGAGTAGAAGTAGAAGTAGAAGAAAAAAACAGGGAAATCAAGGAACAAACGTCCTGTTTCTGTTGCTGAGTGCAAAGCAATTCATGAGTACTGTGAGTGAATCTATTCTTCAAAATCCCCGCTCATCTCTTACAGCGCCTTCAAAGTTGCTTGCCGTTCCTCTTCCATTTTAGAAGCAACTGCCCGCGCAGCCTCCAGCAAAACAGTTGAACACTCCTCTACCAGAAAAAGGAGAAAACGATCAGCCCTGATGCGAGCCTGAGTCACTAAGATATGTATCGAAACTCGGGTACAAACCCGTAATAATAAGCTGGCTTAATTTGATTATGGGCAGCGCTGCTCAGTGTTCAGGCTTTCTTCAGTGGCAGCCAATGGCGAACACAAAGGATGCAACAAACGCCAAAGTCAGTACCAAGCAGCAAAAACAAAACACACGAAACACAATTCAAAGTCCATCACCGAAGCCTGATTATTCGATTCCAAACCCTTGATAGTGGCTTCCTTGTGCTCAGCAAACTCTTTCTTGTGGCTCTCCAATTGC